GCTGGAAGGTGCTTTGATGGGCAAAGAAAGGAGGCCTCTCTGGACAGATTTGATGGATTTTGCCAGAAATGCAGTATTTTAATTTTTCTCTTGGACACGTGTAGGTTTTTTGTAGCGGTCAGGCGAGTGGTTTCAGAAATGACGGAGCAGAGGTGCTTTTTTTAACTACGGGATTGAAACTGGAGAGGACTTTTAAGCCTTGTTTAAAGCCTCGCTCCTCAATTTGCTGCTTTTCCCTGCCCAAACAGCGCTGCAACGAGCGGTGCCACCTCTGGGTCCCTCTGCACCATCCGCGGCCGCAGCTTCAAATCCCCGGCTCGGTGGAAGTGAAATCATCAGTAATCTCTGAAGGGTTTTTTTTTAGCCTGACATTTCTCCTTGCTTTGAGAATGGGGAGGAAACAAGCAGCTCTGTGCAACGTGCCGAAATCTCAGCAGGTTTTTGCGCTGCTTCAGTCCCACGCAGCTTGCTAAGGCGAGGGAAAGTGGAAGATGAGCCGGCAGCGAGGGTGGGAGCGTGGCCAGATTGGCTGTTTTGGAAGAAATTCCATGATTGCCGCGCGGTGCTTGTCAGTGCAAACGCTTCTGCTGAACAAAATTGCAAAAAAACATAGATTCTGGCTTTTGTTCTGGGGGTTTTAGTGGTGCTTTTTGTTTAGAAATGGGAACGGATGGGACTTGAGCATCCCAAATGGTAAAACCCACCTGGCAGCAGCGATTCCGTCCCCCCCCTGCCGTGGAAGTCGGTGGCCCGGCCGGTAACCGGGCGCCCACGGAACCTCTGCGGTTCTAAAGGAAACAACCCGGTGCCGCCGGAGCACCGGGCACAACCGCCGCGTCGGGCAGCGGGCGCCCGCGCCCTGCGCGAGCCGGAGGGCAGCGCACGGAGAACCTCCGACCCAGGTGAGCCCCCGAGGGTCCCTTCCCACCTCAGCTCCTCCGGGAACTCGCCGACGTTGCAGGTTTTGTGTCTCCTGAGGGAATCTGCTCCCCGCTCTTCGGGCTTGTGAAATACAGATGATTTCTCGCGATGTGAAAGCAGGGTTGAGGGGCACAGTTCGCAGCCTGGAGTTGGCTGAAATTAATTTGACAGACTAGAGCTCGCAGGAGCTTGTAGCTAAGCAGCTAAATGCCTAGTAGCTTATAGGATTTACATTTAAAATTGCCATAGAGGCTTCAGATAATAATACAAAAGTGACGCTTACAGCCTCCTGGTACCCTGCAGAGGATCATCCATGGGAGCACCCAGAAGATTAATAACTGTTGCTCAAGTGCTTTGACCTGTGATTTCCTCCATCCTTAGGACAGTTTTCATCCGGGCAGCAAGGATTCGGAAGCATTTTTCTGCAAGAATCGCCGTTTTCCTCCGCTAAACCGAGTTGGTGAACCCGGTATTAAAACGTGGTGCTGTTTTGTGCTCGTGCAGGGAAGGAGCTGGATCGTGAAGCGCAGTTATGAGGATTTCCGAGTGCTGGATAAACATCTTCACCTGTGCATTTATGACCGTCGCTTCTCCCAGCTCTCGGAGCTTCCCCGTTCCGATGCCCTGAAGGACAGTCCGGAGGTAAAGTACCAGCTCGGTAGCACTGCGAGCACAGAGGCACCAGTAAGCCTTTTAGAAGATAGATTTTAGTTTAAATTAACCAAATCTGACCAAATATTGGAGGAAAACAGTGTTTCAAACAGCCCTGCAGACTCTGGGCTGCAATATTGCTTGGTAATGTTGGGAGGGAAGCTGTGGAAAGGCCTCGGTAGGTTCCTTTTTATCAAAACTGTAGAAGGGACGTTGCTAAGTGTATTTTTAAACCCCTCATCTGTGGTTTGAAAGATTCCCATTTTGCCAAGGGGCTGCTTGGAGTTGCCACGTTCTTAAGCGTTTGCAAGTGAAAATGGCAGCCTGTGTTTTGTTTCAGTGAATGCTCCTCAGATGTGTTTGATGGGTGTCATATAAATGATTTGTTTGTATGGGAAATTCGTGATGAGCGGAAGGCTTTAATGACCCTAGACAAGGAAAATTACCAAAAATCTCCATATGACACTATTATCCTTACGGAAACTGCTTCTTTACACAATTTTTGCATAATTTATTGCAACACTGAATGCATTTCCTCCTCCTTCTCCCCATGACAGATACCCTTGCAAAAGGGCACATATTTCTCTAGCTATACCAGTGGGTAAGTGGTGGTAGTTTTGAAGAAGCACCTCCAAAACTGTGTGTTTTCCTTCCCCTTGCAGCTGGTCACCCAGATGCTGATGGCTTACCTGTCCCGGCTCTCTGCCATCGCAGGCAACAAGATCAACTGCGGGCCAGCCCTCACGTGGATGGAGGTACAGTTTGAAGCTCAGGTTGCTCTGTTTCCTGACCCTTGCCAGGAGTGCCCATAAGTTCCCTCTATATTTCCAGAGAGAGGTATAATCCTTTGCAGAGCTGTTGCTGCAAAATCCCGCCCCAAAAGCTTTATTTCCCTGTTGCAGACATGCACCAGGTCTCCAAAAGCACAGAGCAAGCAGCAGCAGGTCCCATGTCCAGAATATGAGAGCTGTTTGCTCCTCGTGCTTGGATTTTGTCATGGAAAATAAGACATCCTCCTGATCTTCAGGAAGGTGGCAAGTCTAGTGAAGCCAGGACAAACCTAATCAATGCCCGAGGTCTCTTAAGTAATAGGTTGCAGGTAAGGCACACATTCCTATGCCCTTTTCTTTGCCAGGGGAACATTGCAAGCGTGACAAGCTCCAAAACAATTCAAGCTGACTCCCTTACGGTCCTGGTTTGTCCTGTTTTCTTCTCATTTTTCCTCGTAATTGCTGCATAGAAACAAGCAATCTTATCTGCTACCGTTTGCCCTCGCTGTTGGTTACGCTGTACAACAGAGCCCGCGTTGTGCTTGCAGAGGGCCTGCTTGTATATTGTGCAGCTGTAGCTTTGGTTGCTCTATTAATGGTCTTGTACCACCCTAAACAACAGCCTTGACTGGGCAAAGGGTGCAGGAGGAAGAGGGCTAAGTGATGAAGGCCACCTGGCAGCGAGGGATTAGTCTGCGTATAAATGTGTGCATCTTGCCTGATGACACTGGTGCATTACACCAGGAATAGAGAGAACTGCTGTTGGGCAGTTGCAAAGCTTCTTTAAACGCTCCTTTATGGACCGAGTGCATTTTCCTGCCCTTTTCCCCACTGCTCTGCTTTTTCCCCACCCCAAAATCCTTTGGGATGAGACAAATCTTGAAAAGCGTCTCAGCAAAAAGGTAGAAAGGAAGTTTAGAGAGGCAAATGAGCCTGCAGAATTTACAGCAACACAGTGGAAGCAGCGATTACAGCAAATCAAGTGCACATGATAGTGAAATTGCTTTGGTGCAACTGGATTTCTCCAGATAAACGTTTTGATTAACCTAGAATCTAACCAGAATTTCACGCGAGTGCAGAAGTGGAGGCTCTTTTCAGGCAGGCTGATGCCTGCAGCGCAGGATAAGGAACCATGTTCTCTTAAAGACACAAATAATCCGACGCTCATTCCCAGTTTGACATCATCGTCCCGTTACCGTGGTGACTCTCTTTGAACATTCATCCATCTTTGCAGAGTTTTTATCGTTATTTTCATGTTGGCATTTGAAGCGCTTGAAGGAAAACAATCCAATCCAGTGTTAAAGGGAGGTGTAAACATCCACTGTCATGTTCCTCCTTGTACCCAGAGATGCACAAACACAGCGTTTTCCTCCTCAGTTACGTGCACGGGGACAGTGGGCCTTGTGAAATGCACTTTGGGTTGCCCTTCCTCTTCGTTTCTAGACGTGCTGTCTCTTGAAGGGCCCCCAAGCTGTGCTGTCTCTGTGCATCAGCTTGAAGCCCCTGCCACGTATGAGCACCAATAACCCTCATCCTCGCAGCCGCTTGTCCTCAGCTGCCTCACAGTCTCCTGTGCTCCTTCTTTCAGATTGATAACAAGGGGAATCACCTGCTGGTCCATGAGGAATCGTCCATTAACGTTCCTGCTATCGCTGCTGCCCACGTTATTAAGAGATATATTGCTCAGGCAGCAGATGAGCTGTCCTTTGAGGTAAATAATTAAACGTTCTTTGTTGCCAAATGTTTGTGGGTTTGCAACAGAAATATGTTCCTGCACTTTCAGAATGTTTTGGGTGCTGAAGCTTAGGAGACTGGGATAAATACCCTTGCACTGGGCTGGACAGAGTCCAGTCATCTTTAAAATACAGCTTTAATGGCATTAGCACCTTCTGATTAACCCCATCCTGCCACGTATTCCAGTGTGGTCTTTGAGCAGCAGCAGCCCCTGCATAGCTCATGTTGTACCATGGATTCAAAGTATGTTAAATATGTTCAGGAAGACAGTCTACGTGTGTGTGTATGTGGACACATACCAATTTAATTAACCATTGACCCAACCTGCGCTCCTGTAAGTGGGTGCAGGTCTAAAACACTTTAAATTTTAAGCATTTCTCCTCCTGGAAAAGGTAAAGAACCAGATTATCAAAGGCTGTAGGGCTTAGGGGGTGATGCAAAGCTGTTAGGAAAATCTTACCTGATGCAGAATAGGAGCTGCTGGGAAGCAAAGTTACTGAAGATCAGGCTCTGGAATGTCTTCAATATCTGGGTCCCTTGTCTTGCCTAGCCAGAAAGCTGTATTTTATGCTCTGATTGCTTGCTTATGTGCAATGTTAGCAAAAATGGAGTATTGTAATATTAGACAGAAAAAAAAAAAGTAAAAATGAAAAGAGTTAGTGCCCCAAGGAGCTTTTGTGCTCCTAGTCTTAGCGTGCGGCACGGGAAGTAACAATCGCAGTGATAACCTAATGCTGCCAGGGTTTTATTTGCATTCAAAGCCGAGGCAATTATTAGTGTACACCAACGAGCAGAGCTAATCAGAAAGACATGTGGGTTTGTCATCTTCCGAGTTAAAACGCAGGCAGCTCAGGATACAGGCTCTTAGTCAGTGTTTTAATATTAATAAAAGCCAGCGAGCTGCCTTGGCCTTGCAACACCCAGGTGGGCAGGCAAGCTGCTATTAGGCATAGGAGCCCTAACCCACGCTGTCTTTTTATATTTTAGCTGTTGTGCAGCTAGGTGACCCTGGCGTTTGCTTGTCAGTACTCAGGAATAATTTGGATTTCTCTGCTCAGCGTGGTTTCATGCAGGGGAATCTTCTCCCCTGCGGATTTGCTGTTCCCTTGAGCAAGTCATTTCGCATACCTGTGTCTCAGTTATCCCTGTCGGAAAGGTGGAGATGTGTTATCTTCTCTGAAAAGCACTTTAAGAGCCATTAGGGCAAAATACCAGGTAAAAGTTAGGCATTATTATTAATAATTTTCACCATACCAAGCTGCAGTATTAAGTTAGGTTCTGCCCATTCTGCTCTGGATTTTCTCATTTTCATCTCTCCTCCGTTCGTTTTCTAATACAGAAAAGTCTCTGTCAGCTTGTGAACGCTCAGGGAGCTCTTAACATCTTGCCATGAAAGGAAACAAGCAGACATATGTAGGTGCATACATTCAGATATATATATGGCAAGAAGGAAAAATGACTTCAGCTACTTGAAAATATCTTCCCAAGTTTTTTATGCTATCACTGCCGTTTAATCAGAGCACTTCTGTCCCCTTTGGCAGAGAGCCTGCTGCTTTTGACAGGCTTTTCCCTATGAATATAGCTGCCCCAGCTGTGTGCTGGAGGTTGTGTAACACTGCAAGTCTCCTACCTTGCAGTTTGCTCCCCAAGATGTCTCAGGATTCGCATTGGAGAAGGTGTCCACAAGCTTGGGGATTTCCTGCAGCGCGCAGGGACGCCTGGGTTGGAGTCCTGCTTTCTCCTTGCAAGCTGGGGCTGATGTTGCAAATCTTTTGCAGGTCGGAGACATCGTGTCTGTTATTGACATGCCTCCCAAGGAGCTGACCACGTGGTGGAGAGGCAAGCATGGGTTCCAGGTAAGCTTGATTAAACTTGATTAAAACACATAAACTCAGCACATCAACTCAGCAATCCCGCAACTGCTGTGCCCACGATTGCTTGGGAATATGAAGAGAGGGTGTTTGCACTTCCACTTGCTCTTTGAACTCGAGCTAGATGGGGTCTCCACTGGAAGAATCCTGCACAAGGTAGGAATAGCCCCAACCCTTTGATCTTGATGGACAGCTGGGCTGGTGCTGGTAGGAGATTATATTGCACCCTCTCTGCGACAGCTGCCACTGTTATCCAAATCATCCCATTCTTTCCACTGTCTAACATTTAGACAGGGCAGAACAAAGGATTCAGAGGAAACCAGTGAGGAGACTCTGTTGTTGACTTGGACGAGCCACCCAACTCATCTGTGCTTCCAAATCTTTATTTATTCAAAGGTGATAATATTCCAGGTCCCTGTAAAAAATATAGCTGAGATTTAGACTGAATTTTCAAAAGATCCTTAAAACATCTGAGAACTAGGCATGAAACCTTCTGGGTGAGAATGGCTTTTTCCTTGTGCTTGGCTTATGCTGCAGCTTGGATTCGCCCTTTAGGAAATAAAAAACAAGGTCTTTATGCACAAAAGCAGTAAAAAAGCCCAAAGCTACTGAAAGGCAGGGGGACTTTCTACCCCTTCACACTGTGGTGTCTCTCTGTGGAAGGATTTTCATGTGACCATCTCTTCACAAGCAGATGAAATTTGGAGTCAGCGACTGTGTTTTGTCTTGGCAGGACTTTGGTATTGTTGCACTGTCAAAAATCAGTGATACAGTTTAGTAGGAGGAGGTTTTGAAGGAACCTGCAAAATAAAGCAGAACTACTTAATAGAAAATCAAGGCTGCAATACCTTTGCCTCTTAATTTATAAGCCAGAGCCCTACCCAAAGCACCAAACAGACATACAGCCCCTATGATATATGTTTCAGTAGCTCTCAGATGGTGTTTGCACAATCTTTGCTCTATCTCACTTGACAGGCAGTAATTTCATGAGCTGTGCTAGCTTGGTTATTCCTACACAAACATCTCTCTTCACATAAACGTGCCTCTCATGGGCAGAGAGGCGTTTCTCCTCTGAGTTGACACTTTCTGGCATTTCTCAACGTGCACATCAGAGCTTTTCCTTGCCTGGATCACCCTCAGCTAGCAAGAGATGCAGATCCCAGTGGTGCACAAAGACACAGGGTTTTTTTTTAACCCAGGCTGAAGTTAAAGAGCTATAAAATACAGAAGAAAACTTGTAGGTTAAATGCACACGCAAGCACAGATGTGGTACAGGTCAGTAAAGAAGTGTGGAGCTGTCAGAACAACTCGAGTCGGGAAGGGAATCGGGAAGAGCTGCAAAATAAGTAGCTGGAGGGAAAAGAAGACAAATCAGGTGATGGGTAGAGAGAGATGTTGAGAAGAGGAGGCAGAATAAAAGGAAAATGTGGAAGAAATTTAGGAAATGGAAAGAAGCACTCACTCCTCCCAGCTGGAATGGCCTAGGAATGTGAGGAAAAGCAGCTCTACCTTTATGTGCACAACGATACCCTGCATCCTGGGACTAGCAGTCTTCTCTGGAAGTCGTGCTGGCAAATCCAGGTCTACAACACATGGCTCAGTGTGTAGATCATGTCTGTTGAGCTACACCACGTCTAGGAGAAGCACCTACAGTCGCAGGATGAAGATAATACGAATAAAATCAGTGTAGGAAGCGTTCCTACGGATCTACCAACGTCCAGAGATAAGCAAATCCAACAGGTTTTGAGTGTGTTTGGTTTCAGCTAAGGGCAGCTTGGATTCAGCACAGAAATGAGTTTGTTCTTTGCCAGGCAGGCCAATCCTTTGGGGCAGCATCACCTTTTTTGGTTAATCCTTTGAATTTCCCAGCTGCAGGGGCCTTTCTCCCAGTAGCTCATCTAATGACTGCAGTGCAAGCCTCTTAATCCTGCGCCGAACAAAACAACCCATTAGGCTTCTTATCAGCCTCTCTGATTAAAGTAAAATGATTTTCAAGGCATTTTTTTTTCTGCTTGAAGCTGGAATTTGCGAGTCCTTGGTGACTCACTGCTTTCTTTGTGAGATTGTTCCCTAAACTGCAGCCACCTCCGCGTTCGCAGCCGCCCAACTCTCTTTGTTCCCATCATCTTTTTATTCATCCCTCATCTTTGCGGCACGAACCCGGTGCACAGGAGTCTGCACCTGGGGGTGGAGGCCACTTCCATCCTGAAAACGTTGACGTGGGGGGATTTAGGCAGCATCTCTGAATTTCTCTGCCGCTCTCTTGAGTTTTCTGCATGGCCAGGTAGTGAATAGAGGTGTGAATCATTCAGATTAAGAACCGCATCCGTGTTGTTGGGGCGGAAAGGGGAATGATTTTGCACTTAAAAATTCCAAAGATGTTGCAGAAGTTTCCTCTAAGCAGAGGAGATCCTAAACCCTGGGGAAGGAGAGCTGAGTCTTGGCCACCAAACTCCTTTAAGGCCATTTATTGACCAAGAAACTGTCCAGGATTGCACATGTAACTTATATTTTCTGAAAGCAAGGAAGCAAATGTATAGATCTTGAGACACAGCAAAAGAAGGGCAGTTGGCCATTAGCCCATGGCTTTATCATGGGATTTCTTTCACAAAAACTACCTGGAATATGCTGTTACATGGGACACACATAAAAATCGATTATTTCTTGTCACATACATAAATTCTACTGCAAATTCCCTCTGCATCTGAGGGCAGAGTGTTGGAGGCTGCTTTTCACTTGCAGCCACTGCTCAAATAAATGTGTAGCTCAAGCCAACGTGCCATTTATGTGGCTGCTGCCTTCTCTTTTGCTTGGATTCCCTCCTCGTGCACTGCAAATAATTACTGCTCTTTTGAGCCTTTCCCATAAAGCCTTGTGTAGAAAATCAAACAAAGATCAAATCGTAGCTGTTGCAGAGATGTTTGCAGCAGCAACCTGTGTTTTCCTCCTTCGTTAAGGTGTGTAGTGATTTTTTTTACCCTTCAGATGACCTTACATTATCTAAATATATTACCCTTGCTATTAGTTTTTGTATGTTGCCAAATCCTTTAATCCTGGATCAAGCTCTAACAGTGCCTTGCTACATCTGTTGAGCTTTACTGTGGGACCCAAGTCATTTATTTATGCAAAATCGTGGAAAACTTTCCATGGAAGGGAAAGCAGCAGCTTTTAAGTGGGTGGGAATGAGGCACAAGTTAGGGGTTAGGACCCTGCAGACGATCTCTTGAGGACTGTGGAGGAAAAGCTAAATCACTCAGAAACTGTAAAGGCCTCCAAACTCTTACCAGTAAGTTAATATCCAAGAGCTTGTCAAGACTAGCACAAATTCAGGTTGTCTTTCCCCAAAAAGTCCACTCTAATTATTGCTCTGTGAACGTGGTAAGAAGGGAATGTTCAGGGAAACCTTCTGACACACTGAGAAGCAGTGACAGGGCCATCATGAGGCTTGTTTCCCTTTTAAATTCGTGGTTAGGATTTGTATATTGTGTCTGGTTATGTTCATTATGGCAAAAATACTTGTGTTCATCACTAGTCAAATTACTGGGTTCGTAGTTACAAGCGAAGGTCACATTTTACTCTGTGTATTTTATTAAATCTATTCTCTAATGCTGAGACGAATTCACTTTAACCAAAACCACATGGAATCGTGTTGTTTTCACATGCATCTAGCACATTTGTCCTCTCCCCTCCATACACACAGGTGCAGGCTGATACCTCTGTCCTTAGAAAACAGATTTATAACAGTATTTTACAGAACTAAGCATTTGGTATGTGGGTATATATATATATACACATATTTTTTGCTTGCATCAATTTGAAAAATTATTTTTGTTATGCTGGGTCATTTTAGACTGGATAATGTTATGGTTGCCAGGCAAGCAGAGCTAAGGATTACATGAAGCTTCATAAAAGCTATAATTAGACCCAGGTTTAACAATTCTGATCTAAAGACACAGCGCTCAGTATTCTGTCTCTCCTTTCATTACAGGTTGGATTTTTCCCTAGCGAATGTGTTGAATTAATTAATGACAAAGTCCCTCAGTCTGTGACCAATTCTGTGCCAAAACCAGGTATGTATATTTAGTTTTTAAGATGCAGTGAAATAAAAATGAGTTGTTTTGTTGATGTTCCATGCTTAACATCTGCATTAGACCTACCCTGTTATCCTCTGTATGTGTTGAACATCCTTTATTCATGCCATGTCACCCTCTGTATGTGTCGATCATCCACACATTTTCTGCCTTTGAATAGCTGCTATTACAGTCTTTCATCTGCAGTGTTACATAAGCTAATATCAATGTTCATCTCCTGCATATTTGGAAAGATTTTAAGCTTAGAAGAACTTGAGATGCCTTCAGCAAGCAGTAACTAACGTTTCTATGCAGCATCCCAGCTCTTGGTGCCTTGAGAGTGTTGCACGTTAGCTCTTCTTCATACACAACATATAAGTGAGGCAAAAAAGATTCTGCTGGCATAGATGGAACTGATGAATTGGGTAGATTGCTGGAGGAAGGCAGATATAACGGAGCTTGGGCCCCTTTTTGCTTCCATGCTGGATATATCCCTCTGGACACTTATGTATCCTGTGAGATACAGGCGAATTGGTACCAGGCACTGCTGCTCAATGGAAAATTAAATGGAAGGCAGGATCTGGGATGTGATTCTGGTGGCATCCGTCCTGGCAGCACTGGAAATGAAAGCTGAGGCCTCTGCAGAATTCACTGGTGCTGAACATTTCATTTTATTCTTTCAAAATACCTATATACATATAGACATATAAAATTTAAGATAATGCTAAATTCATTTTTTAAAAATTGCTGACCTTTTTCAGAAGGTTGTGTGAGATCTAACTTGAGCCATACATTAGGGAGTGGATTTCCTCCTTCAGTCGGGGGAAATGTGTTACGAAGTTGATGCAAAAAACCCAAATCCCGTTAAATTAATACGTTGTGAGATACTGCCATGAGGCCATCACTGCTGAGCTCCCCCATAGCTGCTCCCTGCATAAAGTTAAAAGCAAAAAACTGCAGCGAAACCCCCTCTATCTACATTTTAAATGTTAGATTGCCTTTTCTTTTGCAAGAAATTTCTAAACAGAACCACAGATTTTGTCCTTACTTGACATTAGCAGGACGTTTCACCCAGAATGAACGTGAAGTTCTAGATTTGGGCTTGATAAGGCATATTTATCAACGTGCAACCTTCTTCCCTCTAATCCAAACATCGTTTGCAGAGCATCTAGGACATTTTGCAGCATAAAGCTTTGCCACGAAGGAATTTACGGGCATAGAACTGCTTGTGTTGTGTAACCGTCCTTAGATTTGGCTGGATTGAGTAATCTAATGAAAAGCAGATGGAAAACAAAGAACTTCCTGCCCTGAATTTTTATTATTATTTATAATTAGAGGGTTTGATTTGCAGAAGTGATGAGGACAACGTTTTAATAGAACCATAAGACACTGCATTGTGTCTTAAATGCAGGACAAATAAGGACTGAAATTCAAATGTAAATGAAAGGCAGGCAACGAGAGAGGAAGGCCGGGCTTAAATGCAAACTCTGCTTTTAAAACAATATTTTCTTTGAGATGCTCACACCAGTGAGAATGCAGGCAGTGTCTGAGATAAACAGAAGGCAAACTATCCTTGCAGGAAAACCATTTTATTCAATTCTGAAAATTCCAAGTAGTAGGAAAGAACTTATTTTTTTCTTAAATAATCTCTGGAATAGGTAAACCTGCCATCTCCCAAAATACTGCTTGTGGTCTTAGCAACACAGCACTGGAGGCTGGGAGCTCCCTTGCCATGTGAGGAAGGTGCTTTGTGTTTCTGTGAGTGCAAACAGCTCATACAGAGCTTAATTCCAAGCACATTTCAGGATCTATCCCATGAACCAGCTACCTCACTACTCGTAGGCTCAATTTGTACACGAGAAAGGCAAAAAAAAAGGAAAATAGAAGGTGCCCTGAATCCCCCTGTTCAGTGCTGTGAGGAAATCCGTTATTTTTCTTCCCTAGACAAAATGCAAAGTGATGTCCTGCCTGTTTCTATTTACTTAAAAACCCACTGCACAGATCCAGAAGGGGAGTGCGAGACCAACAAATCCCAACCGATTTGTCTCAATCCTGGGTGTTTGCTCCTCTAAAATATTCCTGAATTCCTACTCAGATCAAGTATTCTAAGGCTTATTTCTTGAGCTCAATGATTATACTGAATCAGTACCCAGTATTTGATAACTAATGCCATTCCATGACAGTTTAGCTCAATTCCTACAGATGGAATCAGGTCTTACATAAAAAGGGTTTTGAAGAGATCCGGGATGAAGGATTGTATCTGAAATACAGACAGTCCTCTTGGTGAGAAGTAACTCTTCTAAATATTCATTGTGCTGCTTTGGGGACAGAAAGAATAGCTGCTTTTAGGTGCACATTTAGGGAAAACCTGCAGATTGAGGCCGTTCGCTCCTTTCATTTGGTCGTGTCCAGCCCTGGTCCATTCCAGGAACACTGTGTGCATTTGTCTCCGTTTCATTCCATGTTTTTCTCCTACTTCTGCCTATTTGCTGTGGTGCTTTTACCCGTATTTCCAGTCTCCTACCATGTTTCACCTCATACATGCCATTTGTTTCCTGTATTTTGCATGTTGTTGTGTGCATTGCCCCTTCTACGTGTACAATACGAAGCTTTCTGAGCACTGGACCCAAAGACAGCCCTAAATTAATTAATTTTAACTGCGAAGGTGTAAATCAAGTTACCTTCATTGCTAAAGAGCCCTTGCAATCAGATGCCTGAGAGATGGTGCCTGCTTCGGAGCAGGCTGCTAATCCCTAAACCAAAAAGGTGCTGTTTAATTTAAAAGATCAGGCAGAATAGGTGCAAACAGCATCTGCATTCTGCAGGAGGCCTGCGTTTTCCTAAGCAAAATATGGAAAAATCTAATAGAAATCACCAGTGCCATTCCTGTTAACCTCGCAGAAACAAGGGGGTGGTTCCCTGTCCCCTTGAGCTGCGTTCAGACTGAGCCCAAAATGTCCATTTGCCAGTTGGGGAGCTGTTATTTTCCAGTGCTTGTCCTCGTCCCTGGATATAGAGAAATGTCCCATGTTCCAGCCCTGCTCCTGACTCACAGAGCACTTAAACCCAGGCTTAACCATAAACACAGGCTTAGCAGAGAGGGGAGCAGCACAAACCAGCTCCGCGGCGCTTGGGCTGAAAGTTCAAACCCCCGAAATGGGTTTTTTTCCAGAAAAAACGGGCGCTTGCCGGGTGGGGAATTCCAGGATCCTAATGAATCTGCAACTCGAAGGCTTGGGGCTGTGTAGAGCTGAGCTTTGTATGACTTTAACCCGACCGGCGCATGTTTTAACCAACATTTTGTTGTTTTTTTTTCTTTTTTTTAATTATACCTTCCCAGTTTCCCCTGCCCACGGAGCCCGCCCAGCATCCTGGAGCTACTTCCCCCCCTGTACGTTTCCACCGACTCCTTTTTCCCTCTCTGTCTCCGTCTCTCTTGCCCTCTTTCTTGTGTGTTTTGAATTCCACACGTGCAAGTCAGCAGCGCTGGTGCCTTAAAAGACATCCAGGGAAACCAAAGCTTTAGTTTAGCATGGGCCTTTTTAAAGCTCTTTAGCCATAAAACAAATATAGCAGGGAAATAAAATAAAAAAAAAAAACAGCAATTCGAACTCTTTTCTGCTAGAATGATGCGATCATTTAGCATCAATAAAACCATAATCAACAGAAATTGCTCTCAAGTGCGGAGCGCACCAAATGAGGATGCCACTTGTGCGGAGGGAAGAGTCCCAGGCCGGAGCAGCTCTAACACAGCTGCTCATTAGCCGGGCTGCTCGTTTCCCAGGCAAAACTCATCCCTCTGGGCAGCCGGGATTGGGATTGGGAACGTGCCCGGGTGCTCTTGTTGAGAACATCCCTCCGCAGCAAAGTTCCTGCTCTCCTGCCCCAGAGCCCCCCAAACCTGCACTTCTCTGCTCTCCCTCTGCCCCTGCAGGTTTTCCAGCGGGTGTTTTAATCTGTTTGTCCTTTCTCCCACCTCGTGTCTGCCCCCGACCCTCCCCGCGCGCAGATTTGGAGCTGGATAGTGTAAAGCCAGGCTCTGCACATGGTCCCGAGGCTCTGACCCAGGCCCAGCTGAGCTCAGGTAGAGCCCTTCATTAGTCTCTCGGTGTCCTAACCCAGCCTAACGCTGTTCGTCGTGCTAGCAATAACCACCTACTAACACCCTAGGTTCGAGCGCAGAATCTAGATGTAGCTGAACTAGATTCACCTTTTGTATTTTTTAGCATCTTGCGGCTAGAAAGGTCAACGCCAGGTTTTGCAAACGCTCCCCCTTAGCAAGCAGAGCTGCTGCAAATGGTTTTATGCAGTTGGGCTTTGCCCGTGCGGATGCTCCGCTCTCTCCGTGGCCGCGTGGCCATGGTCTGCATCAGGAATCCGGGTGTTCTCCTTTCGTGTGGCTGCACAATATGAAGCTTCCTTCATATTCCTTCCCTGGTGCTTTCCATTCGTGCCTCGGAAAGCCCCATCCGGAGCGTGTGCCAAACCCCTCTGGCCGTGCTCCGGAGGAAAGAACTTGCTCCGAGGGGAGAGAGGAGAAATGTGGTTAAATGCCACAGTCCTGTGGCAGGGAATGGCTCTAATGTGTCCCCACTTGCACAGCGTTAGCGGAAAACAACCGTGTTGTGTTGTCAGCGTCGCCGCGGCTCCTCAGAACCGACGTGGGGTGAAATTCCAGCGTTCCAGCGGAGCGGAGGGGCTCAGGAACGTCGCTGGTAGATGTTGGGTACAACCTGACGGGTTCCTGAGAGAGACTTGGTCACAGGGATGCTTTTTTCCTTTGCTGAATCACTGCATTCCACATAGAGGGTCCCTATGCCCTCTTTGGGTGCAACCTATAGGTTAGTAGATGCTAATCTATACGTTGTGCTCCCTCCGGGATGTGAAGCGGTTCTTTCCCCTTCCCGTTTCTTGGCGCAGAGGGAGCGGAGCCGTAGGCCGAGCCGTGGAAACGTTGCTATATTCGGGATTCAGCTGGTCTCCCGGGAAACCTGCGCCATAAAAATCTGCGATTTCTTCGGAAAACGGGTGTTTGAGAGCGCAGCTTCCTAGAGCCCGTGTTCTAGGCACAGAGGCTGAAAGAAAGCAAGGCCCAAACTACAGCTTCTCCGTTTATCGGGCAAACCAGCAGCACGGTGTAGCCTGAATTTGATTTGGACACAGAATGAGACGTTAGGAGCCCCGTTTCCGTTGAATTTTGGGGGAGACTCCTCAAAACCCTTGTCTGGGTTGCGGTAAACTGCGTTGTGCACAAATTCCTAGCACTGGGAGGTGTGATTTTTCCGTTGTTTCCTAATCCTTTATTGCTTTAACAGTGCAGATGTTTCCTGGCCGTGGTAGCAAGAAGCTGGTGCCCGTTTTGGCAGCGCTTTTTGGGCAGTTTTTCTTGCTTTTTCGTTGTTTCTCTTGCCCGGGGGGGTCTTGGGCGGCCTTTGGGATCGCTGCAGGGTTTGTAGCCTGGAGAAAGGGATGTTCCCATAGAGCAGCGTGCTGGAAACCTGGGATATCCGTGTGTCCCAAGGTGTGTTTGGTGCCCGCGGAGCTCCACTGGGAGGCACTGCCGGGGCAAGGAGAAGCAACCCAGGAGCTTCCCGAAATCCCAGGAAAACGCAGGGCGCAGCTCGAAGGGAGAGCGGGATCCCTTCCTGCATCCCCTGCAGCGCAGCTGCTTCCCAGGAGCTTTCCCGAGCTTCCCGTGGGAACGCGCTTTTGCGGAAGGAAAGGCCCATGGAGGAACATTGATCCCATCGCCCCGGCGCTTGTAGCCAAAGGAGCTTCTAGAGGATCAGGATCGGTTGGAGTTTTGCGGAGACTTGAACCCGCGTCGCTGCCGGCACAAGTAGCTGCAGGACGAGCGTTACTTGGAGACAGGACTCAGCAAGGAACCGTGGAAAAAAACATTCCCGAGGAGAAACCGGGAGCACCGAAAGAAACGGGTTTTGCGGGACGGCCGCGTAGGCGGAAGCAGATCCCTCTGCTTCGGCACGAGGTCGCTGCTAACGGGAAAGGCAAATCCCGCGCCGCTCGGGGGGGCAGCGGGAGAGGGGCTGTGCATCCG